GAATAGTATGGATGATCTAAAAGTTACAAATTTATATACACTCTTCCAGAGTACCCAGATTACTATGTTATAAATTGGTAACTTTTTAGAGTAACATTATCTTCTAATATTTTGGGATTAGTATCAATATTATCAAAATTGTTTTGTAATTATTGTTCTAATTTTGTAACTCTAAACTTAAGTTCATTATTTTCAGTAGCAGTATCTTTATTATTCTGCTCTAGTTTCATAAATCTGGATTCATGTTCTTCCAAAGTTTGTTTTAATTTTTCATTTTCAGCTTTAACTTTTATATTTTTAGCTTTAAGTTTGGTGTTCTTAGTTTTGATTTTAGCATTCTCCTTTCTAAGCTTTGCAATTATGGCAATAAGCTTTGAATTTAATTTTTGTAATAAACAGTTTCAGATAAGTCTTTAATCTCATCTCCTTGTGTTCACATATTTAATATTATATTATACTAGAAACCAGAAACCGGTATTTGTCTGGAGTATAAACTTTTTATAAACTAAAAACTAAAAACCAGTATAAATCCAAAGTACTAAATTTTAAAATAGTATACATATATATACTATATATAGTATTTATATTATATATTAAATTAAAACTTTGTATCAAATTGTATCTAATATATATCAGATAACTATCAAATAACTAATATTAAATAATTAACAATAATTAGTTTAAAAAGATACTAATTTATTATACTTTTACTCTAACTTTAATCTTACTTGAATTAGATATTACAGTATTTGATATAAAAATATATCTAAAACACAATATATATACTGTATTGTAATATAAGTACTATTTATTTCCTGGGACGGTGGGGAGTAATGAAATATTTCCTTGGATTTTTTCAGCTCTGATAGGAGCCGAAGAGAAAAAATCCGGGGAAATATTTGACTATTATTCCCAACCATCTCGGGGAATAAAAATGTTATTCACCCATTTTATTAATTGATGTCTGGAAGCTATTTCCCTACTAAGTTTTTGTGATAAAAATCATGATTAATAACACGAAAATCTCCATAAGTAACAATTAGTAAAACAGGGAATAATAATTATTATATTAAATTTATAAATTAAAAATTTCTTAAATTATATATAGTGTATATTAGAGATGCAGATATTTCTTAGATTAAGAATAGCTACCTACTTATATCATATAAAATTTGAGTAGTTACCTAGTTATAGCTATGCCATATGTTATTTCATATATTTATTAATTAACAAATTTACATAGTATAAAATATATAAATTGCAAACCCAAAAAATTAGAGTTAAAGTAAGGTTAGCTTTAATATTAAAGAAAATTATAGTTTATACTAAAATTTTGCAAGAAATATTTTTTATTATAATCTCAAAATCTATTTTATAATTAGGATTTTGAGATATCAATATACAGTATATATATATATATATATATATATGGTATACAAATAGAAATTGTTTTTAAAATTTGTTATAAAAATTATAATAAGACTATAAATTTAATTAATTTTTATAACATGAAACTTTTAAGTAAACCTGGCTAACCAGTAAATTTCAAATACAAAATTTTATTTAAAACTTACCTGGTTATTAAAACATTTTGAAATACTAATAAAATATTTATTACTTAATATATATATAATTTTATATATAAATAATTAATTCTATAACTAAAGTTTAAAATAATATTAAAATTTAAATTAATATATACTATAATTAATAATTAAATTTTAATAAAAATTTTTAACGTTATTTTTTTTAATTTACTTATTTATTTTCTTTTAAATTATATTATTTTGTCTATTTTTTAATTATTTAATTATTTTTATTATTTTATTTTACACTATTGAAACAAATATAACACATTCGCGCTGATTCGCCAAAACGATACCCATCACAAGGTTAGTGCTAGTCACTTTGTTATATACAGTAGTTACTATTCCTATATCAACTTATTTCGATAAAAATTACACTACGGCTGTAGTAGAAATTATGACAGATCAGTATGGTATAGGCGAGCAGATCAGTATAGTACAGGCAAATTTTTCAGATATACTATACTATACGGATCTGCAAAATTATAGAAACTAACGCTCATATATTATAATACCTGGTCCGTATAGTATAGATTTGAAAATCGGCCTATATTATACTGATCTGCGAAAGTACTATGTTGGAACATATAATATCGATATGGGTGTTATCTTTATGGAATCGAGTGAACGTATGTACGACGGGTGTAGAGATTGTACCCGTCAAGAAAATCTCTACCCGGGTATTATTAGATTACCCGGTTATCCGGGTAATTTATTATAGTAATATAATAAAAATGTCTACCCGGGTACAATCTCTAGATGGGTGACGCGGATGGAACCTACAATATTGGATATCGTTAGTTTCACGGAATTGGTGCCGAAAAGGATGAACATATGATGATAACGCTGATGGAGCCTATCATGTTGGATAACATTAGTTCTAGAAAAGAATGAATATATGATGGGAACATAGTGCTGGATACGATCTTCGTTGAATTGGAGTTGAAGATGTATATACTTATGATGAGTGACGATGATGAATTGGAACTGGAAGGGTGAACATATGGTGGGTGATGCTAATGGAACGTATAATGCTGGATGTTGTTATTTGTTGGCCGTTTAATGGGTGACGCTAATGGAACCCATAAATAATGTTAATATCGGTAGTTTCATGGAATTGTGATAATAACGCTAATGGAACCTATAATGTTGTACATTGTTAGCTTCATAGAACTGGATAGAAAAACGATGGAAACATATAGTGTTGGAAATGATGGTGGGTGACAATGATGAAACCTATGGAAAGGGATGAACATACGGTGGTGACGCTAATGGAACGTATAATGTTGGAAGTCGTCCGTTGTAATGGGTAACGCTAATGGACCTATAAATAATGTTGATATCGTTAGTTTCAATGGAATTGGGATAAAAATATGATAATAACGCTAATGGAACCTATAATGCTGGGCATTGTTAGTTTCGAGTGCGCCAGGGCGACCACCAGAAGTAAGGGCACATGATAAGACGTTAGAAAATTATTAAATCGTCCTACATGCAGCTTTATTGTTGCGAAAATTTCATAAAATGTTAAGTTATGGATGTGGCGTCTTATCATGTGCCCGTACTTTTAGTGGTCACCCTGGCGCGCTATAGAACTGGAGTAGAAAAGGACGACGTACGATGAAACATATAGTGTTGGAAATGATGGTGGGTGACGATGATGAAACCTATGGAATTGGAGCTGAAAGGGATGAACATACGGTGGGTGACGCTAATAGAACGTATAATGTTGGATGTTGTTACTTATTGGCCGTTGTAATGGGTAACGCTAATGGATCCTATAAATAATGATGATATCGTTAGTTTCATAAATTGGGATAAACATATGATAATAACGTTAATGGAATCTATAATGTTAAACATAGTTAGTTTCATGAAACTGGAATTTGAACTGAAAGATGGTGGGCATCGTATAATGATGGAACCTATATTGTTAGTCGTAGCTTAAAAGAATGAACATATGATAGTGACGCTGATAGAACATACATTATTTTAATTGAATTGGAGTGGAAAACGATGAACGTATGATGAGTGACGCCAATGGAGCCTATAATGTTGGAGCTGAAAGGATGAGAAACCATAATGTTGGATATGATTTTCATGGAAATGGAGATAAAAAGGATGACATATGATGAGTTAAGCTAATGGAATCTATAATAATGGATATCGTTAGTTTCATGGGATTAGAGTTAAGAAGGATGAACATATGACAACAACGCTGATGGAATCTATAATGTTAATTTCGTGGAATTGGAGCTGAAAAGGATGAACGTACGATGGGTGATGTAAATGGAGCCTATAGTGTTGGGCGTTGCCACTTCATGAAATCGAGCTGAAAAGGATAACATAAAAATCATGATTTAATAAATACATTTTAATGCAGACATTCCAATCAATTAATTCTTACAATACAAGAAGAGAAAGTAAGACTGAAATAAAAAAAAAGTCATTCAGTAATTGTAATTAATAAAATGAAAATTCATTGTTTTTATCATCTTACCACTCCGGTAGCATAGATGTGGGTAGTTGGATTGGAATTATCGTGATTCTTACCGTGAGGTACTGTAAAGAAATTCCAGTACAAGTATGTGATTGATGAGTTACTAAAAAAATTCTGTTACAAGACTTACTCACCATTCCGGTAATGCCGTATGTGATTAAAGTTGAGTTAGTCTACGGTGGAATTATCGGGATTTCTGGCGAAAGTTGGTGTAAAATTTAATATTGAACTTATTCGCTGCAATGTAATATGTAGTTAAAGGTTAAGTTAGTTTGACATTGGAATTATCGCGATTTCTATCGTGAGTCGCTGGAAAATTTTGCTTCAGACCTTACTTGCTATTCCGGCAGGTACAGCCGTGGCTAAAGTAGTTTTGCATTGGAATTATCGATTGTTATCATCTACTCCGGTTATACAAAAGTGGTTAAATGTTGCATTAGTTGCATCGTGATTCCTAAAGCAAGTAGCTATAAGATTTAGTCTACGATTTCTAAACTTACTAGTTACTGTAAAAAAATTTGCGGCTGCTAAACGCGTAATCTATTTTTGTTACACGGCTATTCAGACGGAAAATGCCACAACTACGTTTTTGATAATTTTGATATAAACATATCAAAAGCGTAGTTTCGGTTATCACTGAGCGTAGAAGTATGAGTCCTACGCTTCGCTCCGGACAATAACTTTATCACAAATGTTAGAAAAAGATTTTTATTAACCACGTCTTGGCTGTGTCTGCACAAAGTACTGACAATGTTTTTTGTTATTCTAATGCTTTTTAATTTCAATTCGAATTATTTTTATAAGATATCTTTTCAAGAGAACCAAAACAAAAGTCATGTGATAAAATTTCAGCGAACAATGTTCGTCAAAAAATGCCAAGAAAAATATAGTTAACTTTACTTGTATAGCAAAAAATGAATACAGAACAAAAACCTGTGGAAATTACTGAAACTTGTGAGAAAACTTCATACTGTGTAGTTATGTTTATGAAACAATATGGATTAAGTTTTTTATTCTTTCAAAATTAGATAAGCACGAAGTAGAACAAAATGGAACAAAGATAACTGAAATTAAAATTTTGAAATCAAAATCCAATGACAATTCATTGTTAGATCATATCAAACCTTTAAAAATGTCAAACCAAAAATGAATATAATTTTTTCTTATTTCATTCGCATAATTTGCAATGTTTTTATTACTTATAATATAACTACTTGAATTTCTTTTTTTGCGGTTTGCCTTTTCAAATCTTATTTCAGGCAAATGCTTATCAGAGTATCTAAAATTGCCATTATTACGGTATAAAACTTAATTTTTAATAGATTGGCCCCAAAGGATCTGTTTCATTTTGCTAATTACATACGTATCTAATTAATAAATAATTTAATGTGAATCTAAACATTGTGTAGAAAATGATATGATGAATATTCAAATACATTTTTAAGGGCCCATTTCTACATCATATTCAAACCAATCGACACCTTCCAATGATTGCTGCATCTGATTTCGTAAAGCAAGAACTTCAACGCCATTCTGGGATAACGTATAGCTGTTGGTCCAATTAATAAAAAAAGCACCATATCCACGGATCATTCTTGGTCGTACGTTGGCGTTTCTAACGGTATCCCAGAGAGTAAAGCCGTTAGGGATTTGGATAGATCTACCATGTCTATTTGCGAAGTAAATCCAGGCAACACCTTGGCCTAATGATTCGATCTTTAATTTGGTGTTGTTGTCTATTCTGACTACTCTTCTGTTGTCGTTAATGTAAGAGAAAGAACCTCTATACCTCATCGTGGCAAGGTCAACGTAATCTATTTTCGCCATTTTGTGGAGTGTAGTTAACCGAAAATTAGAATGCAAATTTTGCGTTAATTGTAAGTGTTTGTTTTTGCATAACGATGATTTTCAAAAGTTTCAATATAACGGGACTAATCTACCAATCAAATCGCAACGCTAAATCAGGGTGCAATTCATAAATTTGGACCGGCAGATCCTCGATTTTGATTGGCTAAGAGCGACGATAAAAAGATTAGGCCGGAATTACTCATAAT